CCGAATATCTAAAGTAAAGAATGATTAGGTGATTGATCGTTGTAGTCTGAAGAGTACTTCGTCCTGGTGTATGCAACTCCCTCGGGTGTGTGGCGATTCTATCGTGGATGTGTCCCCTCCAAGGCCAACAGGGTCCAGTTTGATTATCAAGCTCGTCTCAAAGTTTCGCTCTGTGAGGCAACAAATGGATTTTAGCGACGCTTGTAATGACCAGATTGTGAAGACCTGTAAACAAGCGCAACTCTTTTTCATAGGGGATCTCTTTCAAAGTCTAAAGCAGCACTGGGATTCTCAAGGCACCCGCTGTACAAACGAGCATCCTTTTTCACCGTAGGGCTGTTGGTTCAGGGACTTTCCCACTGGAAATTGTCGGGGGAAATGCGGCCTACTCGGGGAAACTCACTGCTTCGACACCATGTCACTTCAACTCACTTTCCTTCATGATAAACAGGATGCAATTCACTCGGCGTTGATTGCTCCCCGTAGTACCTTCCCACACATAGGTGGTGTGATGCATAACTTCAAGCAATGTTTTCCCATGCAGGCAGATGTGTTCGTAAGGTTCAGTAAGATCTTAACCTTCAAAATTGCATTACTTTGTTTCCTCCGCACTGATTCATTAGGGCTGCTTGACCCCTGCAATTGTAACTCTCTCCCTCGTACATACTCACATACGATCGGCCTCCTTGTTGTTTTCCCGAACGCAATGTTCCCTGCCTCCCACTCGGCGCACCCGGCGCTCCTGAAATGTCGGAGCCGACAGCGTCTTTGTCTCGTATCTAGTTCTGATGAAGGCGCTGCTACAAATCATTCGCATGATTCCAGGATTAAGTTCGTTACGGTGTCTAGGGGATTTAATTTAGCTTTTCGGGCTTGAGGAACTGGTGCTAAGCACGCCAGAGCTGTGTTTCACGATCAAATTCTCATGGGATGGTCTCACAACTTGTTGAACAGGCCAACAATCAAGCAAAACCTCTACTGTGAGCCAAACAAGTGGCAGTCGGAAACCACTACCCATGTTCTTGTTTTTTTGAGCTAAAAGTGATAATGACATTACTGCAACTAGAACAACAGAC